AGAAAGATGTCTTGCCAAATATTGAAATATTGGAGAGCAGAGATAAAGCTACAGAGGTGAAGATGAGATTTTGTTTCACTGCAACATTTTCAACAGAGTTATTTTGGCCTTGGCCTGAAAGAACTGGGGTCCCTCGGGCTTTCCTGTCTTGCATGGGGGTTTAGAGGATGTACAATGTTCAATTTCTCCTGGAGATTTTCAGCTGGGGTCAGCCCAGAATTCTCCGTGGTGCTGAGCAAACAGCCAGTATTTTACCCCTGTGAAGTTCTGGGGACTCTGACTTAGCAGTGAAGCTGATGGAGACTTGCTCTACCTGACCTTACTTGGCCACCCTTCTGGAATATTCTGGCTGTGTCCAGAGTCACAAGAAAACCATGTTGTGAGTCCTGAAATAGTAACACCCCTGATTTCAGTTCCATGTTTATCAGATTCTTGTAGGCAGAGCTGTGGTGGTTCCTAATTTCTTCATTGCTTGGACTTGCTACCTGGGCCTGGCACTAGGTTTTGTGATGGGGATACAGTGGCAAGACCTCCTCCTTGACCTTGAGAAAATTCCTTATAGCTGGGGAGCTAGGCGGGAGTAAGCAGGGGGTACATAGTAAGGCACGGAATACAGACATGGAGGCTTTGAGCAGGAAGGCTTCCTGGAGGAGGCAGGAGAGTAGAGTGACTCAGTGGGGACACATTCAAGAGGGAAGGTGTGAGGGGTGTCCTATCCATGTGGTGTGCCACTGCAGAGCGACAGTGCATGTTAAGGAATCTGCAGGCCATTCAGGATCTTTGGAAATGGAGCTAGAGAGGGGGGCAGGGCCAGACTGTGAGGCCAAGGGAGCTTGACACAGTCCTGAGGGCTCTGTGAAGCCAGGCGGGATGGATGCTGGGCTGGGAAGGGTGGAAGGGTGGGTATCTTTTCCGTTCTAGAAAAGCCCCCTCTGGTGGCTGTAGGGAGAACTGCAGGGCACTCAGAGTGGCATGGGGCAGATGACTCAGGCAGAGGTAAACCCGGGGACGAGGGGAAGCCAGGACAGCTGTGCTGTGGGAGTGTGTGGAGCTCTTAAAAACCCGCGGGCTTGGGAGTGTAAGAGCGGCAGTGTCTCTTTCTCGCTCCTCTTACTAAGCCCTGCTATGTGCTAGCTCCTGGCCAAGCACCTCGTGTAAGGCACCTCATCCAATGCCCTAACTTCCCAGGAGGCAGGTGCTAACCTTAGCCCCCGGGGTGGACAGAACAGTCTCTCCACATCCCCCCACCCCCAAATTCAGAGCCACCTGGAGCCTTGGGATTTGGAAACAAAATAGTTAAGGATTTCGAGAGGTGATCATCCTGGATTTTGGGGGGTCCTACAGGGAAAGACTGGTGTCCTAGTAAGAATAGGAATGGACACATGCACAGAGGCAGAGGCAGAGGCTGGAGGAAGAGCCGGGGCCCCGGAAGCTGGAGGAGGCAGGAAGAGCCCTCCTCCAGAGCCTCCGGAGCCAGTGCAGTCTGCGGCTACCTGGCCTTTGGACCTCTCGCTTCCAGAACCTCCAGGTGTGCATTTTCGTGGTCAGGAGGCACCCAGCCTGTGACGACCTGCAAGAGCCGGGTGGTAAACAACTATAACGATGCCCATTTTAGAGTTGGGGGAAAAGCTGGTGGATGCTTAGAGGTCTGCTCTTAGCGGAACAAGGTCATGCACACAGAGGAATGGCAGAGGGGTGCTGAGGCTTCACTCTGAGTGCTGGGGCTGTCTTCTTCACAGCCCCAGTCCCCGTGCCTCCCCCAGATGGTCTCTCTTCAGCATCTACTCCCTGTCGGGCACCGTCTCGAGCATCTTGCTTTGATTATTTCATTTATCTCGAGGATTATCTTGCAAGAAACAACACAGAAGGGGCAGTGCCTTCTGAAGGGCAGGAAGCCTTGGATGTTTTCGTTCAGCTTGTCCCTGGCATCTCATTTGCCGAATGGAGATTTTCCACCTTGAGTGAGCTAAGCAGTGTGAGAAGTGTCAAGCGTGTCAAGCAGCAGCTCATGAAATACTTCATCTTGTAATACATTAATGGAGGAAAACGAGGTGATTTTCAGCCCGGACCCGTCAAATTGGTTTTAGCGCTAATGAATTGTTCTGTTTGAGCACAGCGTTATTGGCAAAATGCTGATGGGAATAGTGACACGGAGGCATTTGAAACGCCATCAAAAATTATAATCACAAAATAAAAGGCTGGAAAAATTTTTGTGTTTTATTAATCAACACAGGCCATCCGATCAATGCTTTTAATTGGTAGCAGATTCAAATATGGATTGTGGGCCCAGCAGATTCGCAGATGGGCCGTCCCGCTACCTGTGGCTCAATGACCTCACCCCAGCACGGCTGCTCCCGTCTGATCGCTCAGACTTCCTAGTCAGGGCATCATAAATCTTACCCCGTGCCTCTGGCTGAGTTTCAAGCGCGCTGACCACTAATGATCGGAAAGACGCTCAAAGGAAATGGTTCTGATTGGAGGATGTGGCGGCAGATGGCAGCTCTGTAGAACTGGCCAGAGATAAAGATAGTGCCACTGATGGGCTGGAGCACGGGGAGCAGGAGGGGCCGCCCTACCCAGCTGTTTCAGGTTTTGCACTCGAGGCCCATGGAGCAGCGCCTGCATGCCACGGCCAGTGGCAGTCTGTGCCCAGCAGGCGGGGGCGCTGAGCAGAGGGAGGAACCCGGTTGGCGACATCCTCCCTTTGCCCGTCCTGTGTGCTGGGCGTGGTGCTGACCGGCAGTCTTGTTCAGCTTGCCCTTCGACAGCCCCACTGGGTGGTGGAGGCATGTGATATGGGAGACACCTGCCCGAGATCATGTGCTAGGAAGGTGGGACCAACGCGAGCTCACTCTGGGGAGAGAACGCCCCTTCCCCCTCCTGCTTTTCCTCCTGGGGGGCTCGGTGGGGTGGGATGACCGGACTGGCACTTGGGAGACCCTCTGGGTTTCCCTGGCAGCTGTGTGGGGGGCATTTGGGAGGGGATCAGGGTGGGCCCCAAGAGGCCCTTCAGGAAGCGGCTATAATGGGCCAAATAGAGGGATTTGGGGCTTAGACTGGAGAGCCAGCAGGGGAGGCGCTGAGATGGGGACCTGACAATACTTGGAGTGAAAATTAGCAGGACACAGGCTTTGATGGGAGCGCCCTATCCCAAGAAGCAAGAGACTTCTTCCCCGTCCAGTCCTGCCTCTTCCTGTAGCGTCTCCACTTTCTCGTTGCCACACGAATTTCCACTTGACAGTAAGCTCCCTGAGGGTGGGAGCCGGGCTCGCCTGGAAGGCAGTCTCTAGGGCCGCCCGGACGAACACAGAACAGGGTATCGGGATGTGCTGGGCAAAGGACAGAATTCAAAACATGTCATCAGTCACGACCCTCGCGGGATGGTGACTGCCCCGTCCTTGAACTCTGCCCTTCCTGCCACAGAGCTGGTCAGAGCTGGAGAAGTCCCAGCCCTGGCCAGCCCTGGGCTCGTCTGTCCAACTGTCCCCTGGGGCAGCTGCCGCGGACTCGGCTGCGGGTCATTCAGTGTTCACATTTACGGGATGATCCGTCTCTATCCATTAAACTTTGCTGATTTGGACGATTTCCACTCAATTTTTCTGGACTATTTAATGAGGGCTACTCTGACCACTAGCATATGCCGAACTGCTGACAAACAAGAGAAGTTTTGTCATCTGCAAAATAAAACATCTTCGCTCTCGGGCAGTTCAGTTTCTGTTTTTGTTTTTTTTTTTCAAACCAGGTACGCTTTGAGTGGGAACGTGAGGAGAAAAAGGAACATGTAGCTTGAAGGATCGTTATCGCCCTAACAAGTAAAAGACCCTTAAACAATCACATTGATTTTTGCCGACGGATGTAAAGGGTTTGAAAGTGAGTCCTCACCCGGGGCAAGGCCCGCTTGAGAGGCGGGACAGTGCCCGGCCCTTCCAAGGCGTTAATGGGGACAGCAGGGAGACAGTCAGGCGCGGCCTCCGCAGTTCCAGCGGCTGCGTCGCATGGAGGAGGCAGCACAGCTGAGGAGCTGACGCCGGCGGGGACATCCGTCAGGCAGAAGGCGCGGGTCGGGGCTGGCTGCTGTGGGCCCGGCCCTGGGGCGGTGCTGTGGCCGCGCCAGACCTGGAAGGCTTGGAAAGGGGCGCGCACCCTCTCCCTGAAGGGGTGGCAGTTACAGGAACGGGGTTACCTGGAGGGAGCAGCGCCCTCCGTGAGGTGGCTTATCTTTTTTTTTTTTTAAAAGATTTATTTATTTATACAAGCACTGGGCACAGTCAGAAGCGCGGGAGGGTGAGAGAATTCACCAGAGCGGGGAGCAGAGCAGGCAGACTGACGAAGGACACTGCTGAGGGGAGCAGCGGGCGGCAGGAGAGGTCTGCGCGCCAGGTGACACCCTCGCCGGTGGCGGGGCTCGAACCCGCGCTGCAGAGGCTGCAGGCAGCTTCGCAGCCCAGCGCCCCCGCGGAGGCCCGGTCGCTCATCTCTCCGCTCTCGTCTGCCTCCAGCTGTGCGGGGCTCCCGCCTGCCAGCCTGCGTGGGGGACGGGCCCGGGGTGCGCTCTCGCGCGGGGCGAGCGGGCCTGAGACGCCGGGTGGCGCCCGCGGGGCTCCCCCAGACCGCCGTGACCCCGGCAGGGGACCCCGGGGCTGGCCCTTCGGCGAGGCTGGTCAGGAAAGAGCCCCCGCAGGTCCCCCGCCGCGTGGATGGGCCCCTCGCGTGCCCGTGGCTTTCTCCGGGGGCCTCGGGCGGCGCCGGGCCTGCGGGGCCGCATGGCCCGAGCCTGTGCTCGCCCGCGCCGCGCCGTCCCGCTCCCGGCCGCGCGCCCCTCAGCAGCCCCGTCAGGCCCGTCCTCGCCCTCGTCCTCCGCCACGTGGGCGGCCGTTCCCGCTCAGTCCCGCAGAGGGACTCTGATTGGTCGCCCGTCAGCCAATGGCTGGCCCCCTTCTGGGCGGGGCCTCCGTCTGCGTCCAATCAGTGGCGGCGGGTGGCGAGGTCACCTGGACAACATGGCGGCGCGGCTGTGGGAATGTGCTGGACGCGGGCTGGCGTTGCCCTTTGACCTCGGGTCGCTGGCGGGGAGCCGCCGGCTGTGGGGTTCCGAAAATTAAGCCCCCATCTACTCCTCTGTGGGGGAGGCGAGAGGGGACGGCCCCGTGCGTCCCCGTCCCCCGCCCCCGCCCGGGCCGCGGGCCACCCCCTCCAGACGCCTGCCGCGGCCTGCGCTCCCGCCGGGCCCGCGAGCCGGGGCGGCCGCGAAACGGGCTGTTCGTGGACACACGACGAGCAGCTGGGAGGTCAACCTCTCTCCGGTGCGGGCTGCGCACAGGTTTCCCTGAAAATTGTAAAGAAATGCTGTCGCCCCCCCAGCCCCTCCGCGGCACACCGGGGCCGCGGCGCCTCCCTGCCCGGGCGGGGCCAGCGGAGTCCCTGGAGCTGCAGAGTGGGACCAGGACGGCGGGTCTCCGCGGGGATCTGGAAGCCCGGGCCCTTCCTCTGTCGTTGCTTGCGTGGACCCAAGCCCCACCCGTGCAGGCTGCACCCGTAAGTGACCAGATATTTTGTTGAGCACCAGGCCCTGCGTTATGGGATAAATCAAGGTGCAGAGCAGACACAGATCTCTGCCCTGAAGACACTTCCTCCTGCATGGCGTCTGCCTGCTGCCTGCTTTCCGGTTGCAATTTGGGAAGCTCTTCCCCTCTGGCTTTCTGCCGCAGATGCCCTGGCTGCCCTAAGCAGGCGGCCTTCCGTCCCACCACAGGGCCTTTGCACATGCCCATCTTCTGCCTGAAATGCTCCCTCTTCCCCTCTGTGACTTCTGTCTCAGCCTCCTTAGGGAAGTCTCCCTCAGGGGCCACCCCTCACCCCCACGGTCAACCGCAGCCTGCTTTGTTCTTTTGCTGTCAGCATCACGGTCCTTTTCTTCAATAGAAGCATCTTTCACCACAAATCTCAACTACATCACGCTTTCGTCTACGTGATACTCAACTCCCTTTCACGCTAGATCCTAAGCTCCATGAGGCTCAGAGAAGTTCAAGTACTTGCCCAAGATCTAAGGGGACCTATTCCCGGTCCGAGTCCAGGCCTGCTCCATGCTCTTCCCAGAGCCTGATATTAAACAGGGAATGTGGAAGCACATGTGGTTCCCCAAGGCTTTGTGCACCCCATTCCCAATGTCCCTGTGGCTGTGCTGAGCTCCTGACTTGCTCTAGCTGTGTAGAGAGCACCGGGATAGCAGCAACATGAGCTGATGTCTTTCTCCAGAGTGCCTGTTTGCTGGCACAGTGCGTTAGCTGCTGGTGTGTGAGGCGCACGAGCCATCACTCACTCCACTGTGCAGGTGGCAAAGGTGAGGCTTGAGTAGGAGGGATGATGTGCCCACGTGCCACAAGCTGGCATCCTGGACCAGTCCTGCCTTCCCATTAACCACCCCCCCCACCATGGTGTCCTCCCCCTGACACTGTCACTCTTGAAGGAAAATGGAAGTGGGGTACTCAGGGGAACCCCATACTCTGGGTCCTGGCTACATCATCAGCCTCTGAGATTTATGAGGCCTTCCAGTGAGATGGGTGATTGGTCGAGGGGGTTTATTGCTTGTTTATTTCTCCCGTGTCAGCACATAGCAATGGCAGAGATTTTGAGCCGGTTTGGAGCCTCCGCTGATGGCTCTTTCATGCTCAGACCCTGCTGTGTGAAACCAGGGTACCGCGGGGACCCTCTTTGCCATCAGAAGGAGAGCCCCAGCCACATCTCTCTCTCTTTGCTCTCAGGGTTTGCTGTTTTGCTTGGCTGTGCTCAAACGGCTCTCAGAGGAAACTCAGTGCTGAGGAAAAGAGAAGCGATTGTTCTTGGAGGTCAGAGGCAGAAGACCTGCCTCTGGGACTGCTCTGTGGTGGTGGTCGAGGCGGTGGGCGGGGGGTGCTCAGGGGCCCCTGTGACTCCTCCAGAGTCCCAGATCCTCAGAATGGGATGTCCACACCAGTAATGCCTGCAGGGGAGGGACCTGCAGACCCCTGCAAATAGCAGCCTCAGTGTCCCTGCCTGGAAAACGGGCTGATGGCTCCCTCTTGTTTGTGGCAATTAAAAGGGGTCACATCAAACCACTTGGCCAGCGCCTGGTATGTAGTAGGTGCTCAGCATCGGTGGTCCAGTGAAAATATCAATTTGACAGAGGCCCCGAATAAAGCCTTCCATTACTCCTGTTGGTGATGTGAGTGATATGGATTCTGCCTGGAGTGGGCTCCTTGAGAGAGCACTGTGCCTCTTCCTCCGGCCTGGCCAGGCCCGGCTGTTAACTTTCAAGACCCATTAAATTTTTTCCTTCACTCTCAAGAACAAAGACATCCTGCTGAAAGATCAGGAAATGAGAGCCAGGAAGGGGATCTCAGAGAGCGATGATTTGTAACGACCCATCAACAGGGATAAACTCTGCTGCGGCCAAATATAATGAAACATCGATTCTCAGAACCTATTAAAAGTCAGATTTATATAGGAGTTTAGGAAAGCAATTAGTCTGGACTGAAAGCAACTAGTGATCCCCCCATCCTTGGATGGTTCTGATATGGGGAGGTGAGTGAGGACCTACTATGTGCGGGATGTCGGAGGACTTGGAGGGGAAAGACCTCTCCTTGGCAATTCAGTGCTCCCTCTACAGAGATTGGATATGAACAGAAAGAACTATTCATAAAGACCGCACTTGCATATAGATGTACAGTGTGTGCCGCGAGGGTCCTGACTTGCCCCCCTCATTCTGTTGTGGTTCCTTGTAGGCCCCGCCTTGGCGTCTCCATTTGCCTTTTCCTTCTGCGCCAAACAGCCTGAGTTTTTTCTTGGCCTTTTACGATTTCACTTTGCTTCCTGGATGGTTCCGTCATGCCCAGGACCTCCCTTACACCCTCTTCGGCCCTCTCTCACCCCATGCAAGTAACACCCAGTTCCCCTGTCTCCAGGCTTCAACTGACTGGTTGACATCTCTCCCGGGAGGTCCAAGGTCCATTACTCCCACCCCCAGATCCATTGTCCCCAGGTCCCTCTCCATGTTGTGTCACCCCCTTAGCCCAGGCCCCCTGTGTCACAGTCACTCCAGACTCCTCCATTTGTTGTGCCTCCTACATCTCCCTGTGCTGCAGATCTTGCATGTTAACTGTCCCTTGAGGTGGCCTTACCTTCCCCATCCCATTGCCTTTGCACCAGGATGTTTGCCACAGTCCTAATTGTCCCCTCCCCTCATCTCTTCTGCCCCCCACCCCCACACTCCTCTTAGGATGACCTTTCTCAACCCGGATCCACAAACTTTCCAAACTTTTGCTGTTTTATGTAGAGCTCCTCAGTATCTCTTCAAGGTCTCTAGGGTAATTCACAGCTCATGTGCATTTCAAATAAGGCCATCTGCAATCAGATTCTGCAATTACTTCTTACTTTGTCTCCTGAAACTTTCTAGTCACTCCTTCCTTTAACCTTTTTGCATCTGTCTAGCTATCTATGCAACTTTCTAGCTATCCATCTATTCATTCACCACAAATCTGTCTGCCTATTCCTATGCTCATATGCCCATCTATCCCACCTGGCCATCCATCCATCTCTACTCTCACGCACACATCCACCCACCCACTTGTCCTCCTGCCCGTGCATCCATCCATCCATCCACCCACCCTCCCTCCCATGCACCCAGCCATTTATCCATCCAATATTTATCAAGCTCCTACTGTGTGACGGGCCTGGGATAAGAACTGTATTTTCAGCAGTGAATAAAATAGACATGGTCTTTGATCTCCAGTTCACCATCAAGGGGACAGACTGGCAAAACACAGAGGTCATCAATAACTAAGTATAAAAGATGGCGTGAAGGGAAAGTGGGGTGATGTGGGAGGATCGTGAGAATAGGGAGGTGCACTATGAGCCTTCTTAGATTCAACTGACCATTCAGATTCACAGGAGGTATTAGGGCTTGGTATTAACATCACTTGCTCTAGAAAGACAGAGGGTGGGAAACCCCCTGCCTGCTAAGGCACCACCACGCATTCCTTCCCAGCGACCCCTGTGGACAGCCCCCCCTGCAAGAGATGCCTCCCCCTTGAGTAGGTGCAGGTCTGCCCTGGCTTAGATGCTGCAGGTGCTGCAAGAGCCAGTATCTTTTGTCTCTGAACAGAGGCAGAGCCCCTCATTACAGTCACGGTGTCTGAAGTATGGCTTCCCATCGGGTGCTTACGGGTCATTTATAGTCCTTCCCCAGCCAGATGCAAGAGCCAGTGAGAGGTCATCTATCCCCCAGGCAATGCTGCTTAGTAATGGGCTTGACATCCCAACTAAGTAGGTTACCAGGGAGAGAGCACTAGGAATTTAACTGAAGGTTAAGTTCTCATGCAGAAGGGGGAGGGTTTTGCTCTCCCCTTTGCCCAATGGGGGGATTTCCTTAGATTGAGTGGTCAGACGAGATCACGGTTAAGCTTGGTTTCCACATAGGAAAAGGGTGGAGGAGGAGCTTCTCAGCAAAGAGAATAGGGTTTGGTGTGTTCCAGGAGGTGTGAGTGGAGGAGAGGGAGCGGGAGGGAGAGTCACAGGAGGCAGCTGGAGAGGGGGACTGAGGGTAAATTGTGCAAGTCTGCGTGAGGAGTGTGCGTTTTACTTGAAGTTTGAATTTTCTTGCTTGCCTTTGCTAACTGAAGGTGGAAGACTCTTTTCTCACTGGGTGAACTAGCAGGTCCAGCATTTCAGGTGTGGCGGTACCTGGCCAAAGTCTTCAGACCTTCTTTTGGAGGCCTCTCTGTCGGGGGGGTGTTCTAATGTTGCATTGCTGTGTAACAAATCAGCCTGCACTTAGAGGCCCAAAACAATAACCATATTGCTAGCCTCCTAGAACCTGTGGGTCAGAAGTGTGGATGGGTGTGATGCTAATTTCATGTCCTCTTGGCTGGACACAGTGCACAGATATATGGTCAAATGTTATTCTGGATATTTCTGTGAAGATATTTTAGGATGAGATTCACATTTGAATAGGTGGGCTTTGAGTAAAGCAGACTGTCCTCTCTTGTACGGGTGGGCCTTGTGCAATCAGGTGAAGGCCTGGCTGGAACCAAAGTCTGACCCCCTGGAGCAAGGCGGAATTCTGTGGCAGAACGCACCAGACATGAACTGCACAGCAGCAATAGGATGTTCATGTATATAGAAAGATGTTTATTTTAAGGAATTGGCTCATATAAGTTTAAGTCTAAAATCTGCAAGTAGTTCTGTAGACTAGATATCTAGGGGTGATGGCTCCCATATCCCCATATTTACAAAATATTGAGCCCATGTTTCTAAAATCAACATACTATTCCATTTGATTATAAATTATTTGCATTTTTTCACTTGCAAAATATTTTCCATTTTCCATTATATCATAGGCAGAGCTGGAGGGTACGGACCTCCCAAACTGTTTTTATGGTCCGGAGGTGGAGGAGGATCCTTGCAGTAGGTTTCTTGGATATAGCTCCTGTGGGTCTGAAGACCTGTGAACTGAAGGGATGAGCTCTCTGCCTTCCCATGACACCCCATATGCAGTGTGA